TACCAAACTGCAAAAGAAGGCCTTCAGAATATGTTCCTTTGGTACACTATAGTCACATACACAGCACAGAATTAATAAACTATTAATTAAGGAGTTTAAAATCTGATTATCTTGATTCTCTCTTTGAATTTTTGATACCGAACATTACTGAAAAGTTAATTATAAAAGTTCAAAAGAACTGATTTCAAGTTTTCAGATGGAACTTGAGTGAATTCCATGAGCAACTTTAATTGGACACAAAATAGCACTGTGCTTTCACCTAGGGGGAATGGAAAGTGTGAAGATGGTTTCTTGCAAGACTGAGACAAACTGCGAATGATGAAGTCCACTTCAGTGCGAGGAAATTCTGTAAATGTCCCAGGCAATGGCAATGTAAGATAAACCTGACTATAGTGCTGCTTATCTGTAACACTTAAGAAATATAATCTAGGCCGGCGCCACGGCTCAATAGGTTAATCCTCCACCTAGCGGCGCCGGCACACCGGGTTCTAGTCCCGGTCGGGGCGCCGGATTCTGTCCTGGTTGCCCCCCTTCCAGGCCAGCTCTCTGCTGTGGCCAGGGAGTACAGTGGAGGATGGCCCAAGTGCTTGGGCCCTGCACCCCATGGGAGACCAGGAGAAGCACCTGGCTCCTGCCTTGGTATCAGCACAGTGCGCCGGCCGCAGCGCGCCAGCCGTGGCGGCCTTTGGAGGGTGAACCAACGGCAAAAGGAAGACCTTTCTCTCTGTCTCTCTCTCACTATCCACTCTGACTGTCAAGAAAAAAAAAAAAAGAAATATAATCTGGTTCACATCTCCAAAGGAATTTTTTTTAAAAAAAAAAAGGTCTATTCATTTTCCTTTCATTCAAGGGAAACGATTTCCTTATGTTACCTAAGTGGTATCTACAAAATAATTAAGAATGAATTCAAGTGACTTTGTTGTTTTTACTATAACATCTAACACTAAATATAAGGGTTCAAAAGGTCCTTTATAAATTCAAGATGATGTCTTCTTGTTGTTTATTTTAATAAATGTTATTTGGTTTCACATTTATTTACTACAGGAATCTGTTTATGAAAGTATGCTTCACTGGATAAAAAATAAAAGAAGCAGAATTCACATTTTCTACAACTGGACTTCACAAATATTACATGACTTATGTTTGTGCATGGAGATAAAATGAAACATGTTAAGTGTATAAGTATCAAAGAAATCTTTATATTCTATTTGATAGAAAACAAATGAGATACCTTAGTATGGTTGTTAAAACCTAAATACTGTAGAAAGCTGCATGTTTACTCAATTATAATTCTGTAATTAATTTACTGATACACATTACAATATATTTTTATGAGCCACAATATATTATTTTTTCTATGCAATGTAACATGAGGGTAGACCTCAGTCAAGATAACATGACATTATAACATCAACAAATACTACAGTGAAGTATTAATTTGACATTTCAAAATATCATACATGCATGCTATTTGAAAGAATGTGTATTTTAATATCTTAAGAAGCTTCAAGAGAACAAGGACCAGTGAAATCCTGTCCTATTACATAATAGCATGCCACACTGGGAAGAGACTAATGCTTGGAAAGCTGATGGTATATCAATACATTATACGTCAACTCTTCAAAAGGACTTCAGAAACAAAGATAATGAAAAAGTTCACTCACAGTAGAAAATAAGTGACTAGAAAGGACCAATATGATTTTCCCCAAAATGAACTGTATGCATGTTAATAAATACATAGTAAGCTCTATACTCTGTAAAAAAATAAGCACAAGCTAAAAGTATATTGAAACTATTATTTTATCATGCACTTCTGAAAGGGTATTAATATGACCTAAATCTACTGGGGTTACAGTAATGGAACCATTTCAAATTAAAACTAATCAAATATGTAATTTTATATGTCCTGCATTACAGTTAGCTAAAAATTCATATAATTAACTTTGTCCTGAATTAAGTGTGAGAAGATTCTGCTCTCTGTTTAAAATAATGATGATAAAAGTTACAGAAAATTTACTCTGAGTATTCTTCATCTTGAATACAAATGTCAACATTAAATGAAAGTTGGATGAACATGGGTATTTTCACTTTTGAATCTTGGAGACATGAGCACAAAAAAGGCCACTATTTTCTAGTAAATACACTGTGCTGTTATTTCATGTCTTTATTGAATTTTTAATTGCTTTATAAAAACCTGATTTATTCAAATCTGATTTATGCATTAATTTAAACAGCTTTGTGAGGACACAGTTTAAGTGACTCCTGTTTATTTTCTTTTATTAACCATTTAAATAAACACAAAGCAGTTGATAAAGCTGGCTATATTCATTTTCAAACTTTTTTTTAAATATTGATTTATTTATTTGAAAGTCAGAGTTACACACAGAGAGGCAGGAAGAGAGCGAGAGAGCGAGAGCGAGAGCGAGAGAGAGAATCTCCCATCTGCTGGTTCACTCCGCAACTGGCCGTAAGGGCCGGAGCTAAGCTGATCTGAAGCCAGGAACCAGGAGCTTCTTTTGCTCTCCCACGCTGGTGCAGGGGCCCAAGGACTTGGGCCATCTTCTACTGCTATCCCAGGCCATATCAGAGAGCTGGATCAGAAGAGGAGCAGCCGGGACTAGGACCGGTGCCTGTATGGGAATGTCAGCACTTCAGGCAGTGGCTTTACCTGCTACACCACACCGACCCCTCAAACTTTAAAAAAAAAAAAGATTTTATTAATTTGAAAAGCACCATGATGGGGTGAAGACATCTTCCATTCACTGATTCACGTCCCAAACGTCCACAACAGGCAACAGCTGAGGCTATGCCAGGCCAGAGCCAGCAGCCAGGAGCTCCATCCACATCTCACACTTGCCTGGCAGGGACTCAAGGACTTGGGCCATCTTCTGCTGCTTCCCAGGTACATCGCAGAGAGCTGCATCAGAAGTGGAGTAGCCACAACTCGAACTGGCACTCTGACATGGGATGCAGGTGTCCCAAGTGGCAAATTAATCTTCTGTCTCACAACACCTGTCTCTCAAACTTAACGTGTGATATGAAATCAGTTCATTTTGGGGGGAAAAGTGACTAGTAAGGATCATTGGGCTTTTGTAAGTGTTTAAAATGTTACAGTCTTAGATTTCATCTTATTCCAATAGGTATGCATTTTTAAAGTTATAAATTACTAAGTTCAGCATGTGAAATATTTAATTGAGTTTTTCTAATACTATTTATTGCTAGTGGAGTTTTTTTTTTTTTTTTTTGGCATCTTGTGGAAGAAACTAATAGCCGTCCAAAATCATGCAGCTGTTAGCACATGTTTGCTTTTACAAATTTTATGATTGCAGTGTTTGCGCTTAGATCTGTGATCCAACTCAAATTACTTTTTCTCCTATGGAGTGAGGTATAAAGATGGAAGTTCATTTCTCTTTCCATAGGAATAACCAGTTGCCGGCAACCATTTTTTCCAACAACCTTCCATTCCCCATTCAAGTGACCTGAAACTTTGATGAAAAATGTTTTTAGATTCTGTATATGAGTGAGATCCTGCACTAGTTTGTAATTCTGTGCCTGGTTACCAGGGAGTGGAGCAGTTAGGGAAGAAGGGTCGGGGAGACATTGATCAAAGAATATAAAATACAAGGAATAAGTTCAAGAGACCTATCAGATAGTACAAAGACTTTATATGACTCAAATATTTTGAAATTTATTAATATTCATTTCATGACACAGTAAATGGTAGATCTTGATGAATGTTCCATGTATACTTAAAAATAATGATGTATCCAACAGTTGTTCAGTGTAGCTTTTTTTTTTTTTTTGACATGCAGAGTGGACAGTGAGAGAGAGAGACAGAGAGAAAGGTCTTCCTTTGCCGTTGGTTCACCCTCCAATGGCCGCCATGGCTGGCACGCTGCGGCCGGCGCACCGCGCCTATCCGAAGGCAGGAGCCAGGTGCTTCTCCTGGTCTCCCATGGGATGCAGGGCCCAAGCACTTGGGCCATCCTCCACTGCACTCCCCGGCCACAGCAGAGAACTAGCCTGGAAGAGGGGCAACCGGGACAGAATCCGGTGCCCCGACCGGGACTAGAACCCAGTGTGCCAGCGCTGCAAGGCGGAGGATTAGCCTACTGAGCCACAGCGCTGGCCCAGTGTAGCTTTTAAATAAGTGTCAGTTCTAATTGTATAATGGACTGTTCAGATTACTATTATCTAAATAATTCAATAATTGGAGCAGAAAATATTTGAGAGGTGACCCAGATTAGAATAACCAAACTGATAAACATAAAGCTGACTCCATTTGAGGAGTTCCCAAATTCAAACACAAGGCCCAAACTAACATTTCAGAGGAATTATGAGGACAATAACAGTAATAATCTTATTCACCAACAAGTGTGTTTTCCTTTTCTGTGCTGCCCTTTTATAGGCAGCTAAGTGTCACTAAGGGGAAAAATCTATAAAAACACTGTTTTTATATATAAAAAGTAAAGTTTGGGTTAATAGAAATGAACAGGGGTTACTTCTCTTTTTTTTATACTGCCTTTACACATAAGTCTTGTCCGAGACACAGGTATGTGTATGCATATATGTAGTAGAAACCTACCACAAGTAAATAATATGGCCCAATAGGACAGATAAAAAGCACACTGGTAAATAGTTCTTAGACAGTAAGGCTGATACCTTAAAAGCATAGCCTCAATATTTAATTCTGAAGGATCTTACAGGACACTACGATATCTGAATTCTATTTCAAGGCTATCAATCCTCTAGGGAAGTTTAATGTGTTTTAAAACTCTTTTCATGAATTTCAAACAATCAAAGGAAAAATAAATCCTAACTAACATGTTTTCAGCCTTATTTCTAAGTACAGACAGGTTCTTAAGCTATGCCAATGTCATATTTCTGGAATGTTAAAAAAAATTTTAGCTTTCAGGGTACAGTTTGTTCATATTATACTTATAATTTTAACATTCTGAAACCCAGAGTCACCAATTACACTGTGTACTTGTCCCCTGAAATCAGTCCTTCTTTTCTTCTGTTTAGTTTTTCACCAACCTAAATAATAAATGAATTAGTAGCCAAAAATGTAATATTAAGGTAATAAAAGCAAATAGGATATATTGCAGCTCAAATTTTCACCAAGTTATTGCATGTACTCAAAGATCTTCATGATGCAGTTCTTGAGTCCTTTGAGTAACCAACAAAGGACTTACATGACTGGAAATAAATGGCTATTGTTTTAAGAATTCATCACTAACTTAGGCCCCCATGTACATGCTTCTACTTTTAGGGTTGTGGTACATTGTCATTTTAGAATTTAAGTTCCAGTTATTGACAAAATAAAAACAGAATTGTTTCATTTTAAATTTCCAATAAAATGATGGAAACTTCAGTCCCCTTCCAAACAGTATTCCCTACCTGCTTTGGGTTTTTCTCTAATTAGACGGTACACTTGACACAACTATCTTTGCAATCAGTGTTATGCTAAGTAAAATGCCTAAGTATAGAATGACAAAGTTGAAAAGTCAATATTGAAACTGATAAAGAGAAGTGTACCATGTACCGTGTTGTAAAGTGGCAAAGCATGGTCTCTGACACATAGTAGGCATTCCTTAAATATTTGATTATTGAGTAATGTAAATGACCAAATGGAATGTGATGTATAGCCACTGTGAAGCCCAGATGTGCCAGCTAAAACATCTGAGGCAAAGGTAAACCACAAAAGAACATGCAGACTCATAGCGTTTCATTCTCTAAAAGCATCTTTCACTCAAGAAAGGCTAACATTCCTTTCAGTGAGCTATACAGGCACAGCTGAAGCACTGAAAATGAAAGCCATCACTGTGATATCTCTGCTTGCTGGAGACCATATAACAAAGATAGAGATACAGCCAAACGTTTCAATAGCTACCCACGTGCCCCAGCAGAGGCCATTACCGGCATTGCAAACGCACCTACCATTGACCCTCAGCATCCTCAAGTGGAAGCTGAATGGCATCTCCATTTCTAATCAGGAGGTCTTCTGAGCCTCTCCTCCTGCATGCTGTTAGGGCTTTATATTTGCCTGGAGACTGTAAAGTTGTTTCGAAAAATTATATTACAAATGCGATCGCAAAACTCCTTGCATAACTGTCTGTTACATAAAGAATTAACTGTTTCAATGGGAAATGTGAGTGAGGCAGCTGCTTTCCAGTTTGTCATGGAAAAGAAAAAGCAGAACATGTGTTTATATAACCTGAAGAATTAATTTTTATTTTAAAAAAAGAGAATTACAGCATGAAATGTACAGAAAATAATAGCACAACTAATTTAAGTTACATGAATTAAAAGCCTAAAATTAGGAAAAACAGCAGGAAAATATTAATTTTTAAATACTATTATTTGTAAACTACTCTTATGAAAATTTTACCTCGGCACATACAAAAGCAATAGCCCTGAAAGAAATTACTGATGCGCCCAAAAGGATTTCTGGGCTTTGGATCACTTTGCACAGGTTAAAATAATGGGTACAAAAGCTCTGGGCCCGATCAAAGCATATTAAATGATAATTTTGTGCTTTACTCAACCTTAATCATTTTGCAGCCATATTAACTTAATTAATAATAAGCTAAATAATCAAAGGCACACTGATTGCATGTGGTTACACAGTAGATGGAAAAGAAATAATTTTCAAGTCCAAAATTGTTCTGAGACGAGAAATTTTCCAGCACAATATCTTACACATTGAATACAGCATTTTAAAAATAAAGAATACCATAAGTAAAATGATTTAGAAGTGAAAGAAAAGAAATAATTATGGGCTGTTGATTCTTTGCATGTCCAAAGATTTAACCTGGAAACAACATCAGCATCATTTGGGCTGAACATCTTTTGAGCAGTATTTTTTCCACATGGGTTGAGGAGCAGGCAGGAAAGAGCTACTTGCCATTTGACATAGTAGCTTCATCAAAATAGGAGAGCCATCTCTGACATGTGTCTCTACAAGGGAAGCAGCACTCATTATTTCAGTTTCTAAATTGAAAAGTGAAGCCAAACAGTAGCTCATTCCAACTTCACTTGGGGAGAAGGGTATTATGGAATGCATTGCATTGGTCTTTTGTATTTATTCTTTAGTAGTGCAACTCAGGAAATTATTGGGAAAAGAGAAGAAAACTATTCAATTTTTCTGCATTCTCATCCTTTGTGATTAAAGCATCAGTCAATTCTGCATATTTATGTTCAGACATCATATTTGAAATAAAAGCTTACTTAATTTTTGACAATCACTTCATAGAACACTGAAAGCAAATGCTTAAACTGGCTTCCTTGACTTTCTCATCACATTTGAAGACTACTCCATTCATTCCATCCTCAGATTATATTAATAAAGGAAATCAAATTTGTTATTATCATCATGCTATACCAGTTGTTCCCAAAGTGTGGCAGGCAGATCATTGTGGGTTTCTGAGACATTTTCAAAGGGTCTGAAAGGTCAAACCTATATATTAATTTATTTTTAAGACATTATTTGCCTTTTTGCCTTTTTTACACTCATCCTCTCACAAACACACAGTGGAGTTTTCTAGAGGGCACTTGATGTTTAATAGCACGATATAGAGAATGCAAAAGCAGATATGAGAACTCAGCTGTCTTTTACTGAGCCAAATCTTAAAGAGATTTACAGATTTATTTTAAATGTTATTCTTACTACTTTTTGTTTTGAAAATGTATTTTTAGTGAAAATTTTATTCATACAAATTTACAATTGGTTAATTAATAATTTAGAATAATGGATACATTCTAAAACATTTATTTCCCAGTTTTAGCTTAGAATATAGTAAATCCCGGTAGATAGAACCTACATAAACAAGAGTTCTTTGGGGAACTAAAATTGTTATAAAGGGTTCCTTCATTTAAAGGTTTGAGATCTGTTGCTGGTCTAGACAATTAACTCTCACCAGGTCTGAACCTCAGTTTCCTTCTTATGATTTGGAGGTATAATGCCTGGCCTTTTTCACATTAACATTGGGAATATTCATTTAGGCATCATTTGGTAAAATATAAGCTACCATACAAATATGTATTATGGTCATCTTATTGTTAGAAGAAAGAGTATCAGTTATTTTTTAGAGAAAGCATTTCTGAATTAATGCTGTGCAACTCTGTGATCATCCATGCCATTACTCTCTCACACCAACATTACACCTGCCAAGTTGAGTTGTTTCCTCTGAAGGACACCAAGGAACAGTCAACCACAAGGCATCATGCCCAATCTGATGACTTGGACAAAGTAGGAATTTACCCTAAAAAGTCCAAATTCCTTTCTAATAACTCACCAAGATCCTAACAACTTGTGAATCATTTCTTCTGTGAAATTTTTACTTTTACCCTAAAGCAACCTCCTTAAATTTATGGATGTCCTTTTGTTCAAATATGTTGAGGCTTGGTATCATTAGCACATTTTTGATAACTCATTAAAATACATTCCCCAGAGAGTATTAAATAATTTTTAATGTATAACCTTTATTTTCTATGTTTTCCAATCTGGAATCTAGACTGATTTGAAAATGTATTTGAAGATTCTTTGTTCTCTTATTCGATGACACATGCCTAAATGGAGAGCACAGTGGTGGATAAAATTACAGAAGTTTATATACACATATACAAATGAGTACATAGGAAATGGAGGGAATCTGAATAAGGTCTGTGGATAGTACCATTGTCAATTTCCAGATTCTGATGCTATGCTGAAGTTTGTTATCATTGGAGGAAACTGGGTGTAACATACAAAAGATCACTTTGTACTATTTGTATAACTTCCCATGTATATATAATTGTTTAAAAATAAAAACTTAAAGTAAATCTAGAGACATGGGAAGAACGACTGTTTCATCAACTTCAGTAAGAACTCCATGTACAGCTTAAGAACAAGCTCTACTTAAAGAAGGAAGTGCTTACTGAATGTTCGTAAGATTTGCTTCACATTTTTTGACCATGGACTATGCCTAATGGCCTTAAGGATGCTGGCAAAAGATTGTTCCTCTGTGCCTCCTCTATTTCAGCAGTAAAAATGCTTCAAGAGTTTTAATCGAATATGTCATTACTAACCATAAGGGGCCTTTCTTCTTCTCCATTGCCATCACATGTAGGGTAGAAAAAGTTGCTTGACCATTCCACAGTCTCCTCAGAGATTTCTGCAGATTCTGATGTCTCAGCCCAAACTACAAGAAAAACAGGCAGTGTGGTAGTTAATTGAAGGTACCAATTCACCACAAGATGATGAGTCAACTAACAATATTCAGTGGACCAAGAATAGTAACTTTCTATGATAAAATCTCCAATTTGATTGAGCTATTTTAGAAGTCCTGGTATTCCAAAAAGCGCCTGAACTCACATTTACTTCTTTTATTTTGTTTAGAATGGTAATAAGTTAGGGTTTGTGGGAGATTTGTTAAATGTAGTAAGAAGGGGTGGGCATTTGGCCTAGTGGTTAAGACACACACACTCGGCCGGCACCGCGGCTCACTAGGCTAATCCTCCACCTTGCGGCGCTAGCACACCGGGTTCTAGTCCCGGTCTGGGCACCAGATTCTGTCCCGGTTGCCCCTCTTCCAGGCCAGCTCTCTGCTGTGGCCCGGGAGTGCAGTGGAGGATAGCCAAAGTCCTTGGGCCCTGCATCCCACGGGAGACCAGGAGAAGTACCTGGCTCCTGCCATCGGATCAGCGCAGTGCGCCAGCTGCAGCGCGCCGGCCACGGCGGCCATTGGAGGGTGAACCAACAGCAAAGGAAGACCTTTCTCTCTGTCTCTCTCTCTCACTGTCCACTCTGCCTGTCAAAAAAAAAAAAAAGACATACACACTCTTTGTATCAGAGTGCCTTGGATTTAATACCCAGCTCTGGCTCCTGAATCCAGCTTCCTATTATTAAGCATATCTTGGGAGAAACTGACAATGGCTCAAGTAATTCAGTTCCTTCCACCCACAGAGGAGGCCCTAAATGGAGTTCTAGGCTCCCAACTTCAGCTCTGGCCCTGCCCCAGCCATGGTGGGCATTTGGAGAGTGAACTAGCAAATGAGAGCTCTCTTTCTCTCTCTCTCCCTAAAATAAACAAAAAGTAATAATAAGTCAAATAATATTGTGGAGAATATTTACCCTATCTTGCAGAAAATCATCTGTTATGAAACTTCCATGGGTTTATATTGATTCAATTCAAATAGCACCTATAGTCTGCCTGGTATTACTATTTTGACTTGTTTCTGTTAGTAGGCAGAGACACTATATTATCTCTTAAGAGCCTTATGTAAGATATGCTTTATTTTTGAAAAATTAAATAGCACCTCTAACAGATGTTGCAAATTAACAGAAACTCATCTTAGCTACACTAAGCTACTAATATAAACTTGGAAAAATCAGCTGACTTTCTCTGACTTGGTTTCCTTGCCTTGAAATGCAGGTGTTGAAACTAGCCTCTCTTTATTGTTCTAGGGATCACAGCATAGATGATCTGAGGGAAATGAACTTTAAATGGATAGATAAAACCTGAGCAATATCATCATTACTTTTGTCTCCTCAACCAGTGGAGAACTCTTCTAGATTAAGGACCATCATATTTCAGTATTGAATATCAAACACTCTATTAGGCATTTCTTCAGTGAAAACTATGCTGTTGAAATGAGAATTGTTTAGGTGATCTGCTGTGGGATTCTACAGCACCTAGTACTTTCCTGTTTTAACTCTTATGACAATTTAATTTTAATTGCTTTTTGGATCATCTTTCCACCCTAATAGTTTCATGGGGATGGAAGCTGAATGTATTTTAATTAGACCATATGCACAACACTTTGCATAATTCCTGGCAACCAAGATCATGTTAACATTTGTTGAATTAAATAAATTGTTTAAAATCACTTCAAATAGCACAATTATCATAAGAACAATAATTATTAGAGCTGTAAATCAATCTTCTGACTTCATTAAGCCAAGAGTAAGTTGAGTGTGCATTCCTCGAATCCAGCACATGTGCCTTTCATCTCTGTAACAGGGGTTACTGTCGCTCCCCCACTCGCGGAGGAATGACACCGGACCCTGCGCTGTTCTTTTTCCCCCCGGCCCTTCCCGGATTTGCTGCCGCTCCCCGCCCCCGCCCCGCCTCTGCGGAGGGGTGGCAACCCCACCACTTTCCCCACTTCTGTGGAGGAGCAGCACACCGCCGGCCGACTCTCTCAGGGGTTCCTCAGATGTTCCTGGTGCATGTTGTCTCTCTCCTCCTTTATAGTCCTCTTCCACCAATCCCAACTCTGCTGGCGTTCTCTCCCCACGTGCTGAGCACGCTGCTCTCCTCCAATCAAGAACAGGATCAGCTCCTGCAGCTTGTTAGTCGAATTCGTGAGGCAGCTGTGTGGAAGCTGTTTATTCCCTCTCAGCGCCATATGGTGGGAGATCAGATGCATAGATTTAGTCTTAGCAGCTTCAGTAATTTAGTCAAGTCTTGGTTGCTCCCCACAGGTTACCAAAGTTGAGCAGGCATCAGAATCACATAGAAAACATGTTGAAGTTCATGTGGCTGGGCTTCTCTCCCAGGTTCTTATTCAGAAGGTTTGAGTTAGAGTCAGAGAACCTACCTTTCATACAAGTTCCAAGGTGTTTCTGATGCTACTGGTGCAGAGGCCACACTTTAACAACCACTGCTCTGTAGTGCCCAGAGGGTCTTGCATATGCAAGACATGAGTGCCTTATTAAAATGTGTTAGTTTCATTTTCTCTATACAAAAATAACAGACAAGTAGATTTTCCAAGTTAACAATAGGACAATGGGAGATATAATCTTGCACAGACATGAATTGTACCTTGGGATGACCATGACACATACCTTTGTTTGGTTGTGCCTGAACTGACACGATTGCTTCACTGACCTCCACCATAGCACTGGGGTGTTCCAATTCAGTTTCCTTAGCATTTGCAAATGCTCCTTGTTGCTTTCTGAAATAGTAATATATAAAAATAAGTGAGCTTTTCTATAGCCTAAGAGTAGCAAGAAATTTAAAATGGTATTTCCTCCACCAAAACCATGTGCTAAAAACAAGCTAGGAGAATCCATTCAAACATTTAACATTCCACTATTTAAGTGTGAGCATAAGCATATTAAGTTCATAATATACAAAACCTTAAATACTGGGATTCAAGCCAACAGATTCTATCTTCATTGTGCAAGGAAAAAAATACTCCCTTCTAGACCCAAGGAATATATATTGTGCCCATGGCCAGTCCCTGTTGCTCTGCATATTTTAACCTTAATGAACCAAATAAGGTTCATATAAGATGAAACCTGATCGATGTTTAGTTTGTACCAGTTACTATTAAGTCAGTTACCTACAAGAAACCTAAAGACTTTACTACTATACACTAGGCTAAAATATTGAGTATCCTAGACCCTGGAAGATAATGATTTTGATTATAATTTGGATTTTCCAAAAGCTCCAGATGAACTACCACACATTATGCCTGGTTTTAGCTACCTCTGAAAGATGATTACAACAAAGGGTAAAACAGTGTTTATACACAGAAAATGACCCAGCAAAATTACAAATGAAATCCAAAATACATAAATAAGATTATTTAAGGAAACATGGCAGGGCAAAGACAGTATTTAACAATAGTCACACTGAATGTAAATGGTCTCAACCCCCCAGTTAAAAGACACAGACTGGTTGAATGCATTAAAAAAGTAAACCCATTGGCCGGCACCGCGGCTCACTAGGCTAATCCTCCGCCTTGTGGCACCGGCACACCGGGTTCTAGTCCTGGTCGAGGCGCTGGATTCTGTCCCGGTTGCCCCTCTTCCAGGCCAGCTCTCTGCTCTGGCCAGGGAGTACAGTGGAGGATGGCCCAAGTACTTGGGCCCTGCACCCCATGGGAGACCAGGATAAGTACCTGGCTCCTGCCATCGGATAGGTGCGGTGCGCCAGCTGCAGCGCGCCGGCCACGGCGGCCATTGGAGGGTGAACCAACGGCAAAGGAAGACCTTTCTCTCTGTCTCTCTCTCTCACTGTTCACTCTGCCTGTCAAAAAAAAAAGTAAACCCATCTATTTGTTGCCTACAAAAAACACATCTTACCAACAAAGATGCACGTGGACTGAAAGTGAAAGGATGGAAAAAGATAATCCATGCTAGGAGAAGCCAAAAAAGGAGCTGTTGTGCCATCCTAATATCAGAAAAAATAGACTTTAACACAAAAACTATTAAAGGAGACAAAGAATGACATTATATAATGATTAAAGGATCAATTCAACAGGAAGATGTGACTATTATAAATGAATATGCACCTAATTACAGGGCACCTGGCTATTTAAAAGAATTGTTAAGAGATTTAAAGTGAGATATGGAACCAAATACAATAGTAATGGGGTCTTCAATACACGACTTTCAGCAATGGAGAGATCAACCAGACAGAAAATCAACAAGGAACAACAGAGCTAATTGACGCCATAGACCAAATAGACCTAGCAGATATCTACAGAGCCTTCCACCCTAAAGCCACGGAGTACACATTTTTTTTCTCCAGTGTATGGAACTTCCACTAGAATTGACCATATGCTATGCCATAAAGTGAGTCTCAGCAAATTCAAAAAATTCAAAATCATATCATGCATCTTCTCAGACCACAATGCAATGAAACTAGAAGTCACCAACTCAAGAATCTCTACATTATTCAAACACATGGAGAATAAACAACATGTTTCTGAATGAAAAATGGGTCATAGAAGAACTCAAAAGAGAAATCAGAAAATATCTGGAAACAAATGAAGATGGAAATACAACATACCAAAATTTGTGAAATACAGCAAAAGCGGTGTTAAGAGGAAAGTCTATATCAATTGGTAACTCCATCAAGAAACTGGAAAGGTATCAAATAAATGAACTATCTATGCACCTAAAGGATCTAGAAAAACAACATCAAACCAAACCCAAACTAGTAGAAGAAAAGAAATAATGAAAATTAGAGAAGAAATCAACAAAATTGACACCAAAAATAATACAAAAGATTAGCAAAATGAAGAGGTTTTTTTTGAAAAAATAAACAAAATTAACGCATCATTGACTCAACTAACCAAAAAAAGGAGAAGACCCAAATCCATGAAATTAGAGATGAAAAAGAAAATGTAACAACAGATACCACAGAAATAAAAAGAATTATCAGAAATTACTACAAAGAGATGTATGCCAATAACCTGGGCAACCTAGAAAAAATGGACAGATTCCTGAACACATACAGCCTACCTAAATTGAACCATGAAGACACAGAAAACCTAAACAGACCCATACCCAAGACAGAAATTGAGCCATTTTAAAAGGCCTTCCCAACAAAGAAAAGTCCAGGACTCAATGACTTCACTGTTGAATTCTAACAGACATTTAAAGAAGAACAAACTCCACTTCTTCTCAAATTATTCAAAACAATTGAAAGAGTGGGAATCCTCCCAAATCCTCTCTATTAAGCCAGCATCACCTTAATTCCTAAACCTGAAATAGATGCATCAGAGAAATTGAACTACAGACCAATTTTTCCTGATGAACATAGATGCAAAAATCCTCAATAAATTTCTGGCCAATCCAATCCAACAACACATCAGAAATATCCCAGCTGGACCAAGTAGGATTTATCCATGGTATGCAGAGATGGTTCAACACTTGCAAATCAATGTGATACATCACATTAACAAATTGAAAAACAAAAACTACATGATTATCTAAACAAAGGCAGAGAAAGCATTTGACAAAATACAACACCCTTTCATGATGAAAACTTTAAGCAAATTGGGTTTAGAAGGAACATCACTCAACACAATCAAGGCAATTTATGAGAAACCCACGGGCAGCACCATATTGAATGGGGAAACGTTGGAAGCATTCCCACTGAGACCTAGTACAAGATAAGGATGCCCATTCTCACCATTGCTATAAAATACAGCCCTGGAAGTTTTAGCTAGAACCATTAAGCAAGAAAAAAAGGAATTGAAGGGATAGAAATTGGGACAGAGGAAGTCAAATTATCCCTATTTGCAGATTATATGATTCTATATAAAAGGGATCCAAAAGACTCCATTAAGAGACTATTGGAACTCATAGAAGAGTTTAGGAAACTAGCAGGATATAAAGTCAGTACACAAAAATCAACAGACTTTTTATACACAGACAATGCTATGGCTGAGAAAGAACTTCTAAGATCAATCCCATTCACAATAGCAACCAAAAAAATCAAATACCTTGGAATAAATTTAACCAAGGAAGTCAAAGATCTCTACAATGAGAATTATAAGACATTAAAGAAAGAAGAAGATATTAAAAAATGGAAAAATCTTCCATGTTCATTGATTGGAAGAATCAATATTGTCAAAGTGTCCATTCTTCCAAAAGCAATTTACAGATATATGTGCTACCAATCAAAATACCAAAGACATCCTTCCCAGATCTAGAAAAAAATGGTGCTGAAATTCATTGTAGCCACAGGAGACCTCGAATAGCTAAAGCAATATCATACAACAAAAATGAAGCTGGATCTTAAGACATACTACAAGGCAGTTATAAACAAAACAGCATATATAGACATATGGACCAAAATAGAAACACCAGAAATCAATCCAAACATCTACAACCAACTTGTATTTGACCAAAGAGCTAAAACCACTCCCTGGAGCAAGGACAGTCTTTTCAACATATGGTAATGGGAAAACTGGATTTCCACATGTAGAAGTATGAAGCAAGACCCCCAACTTACCCATTACATAAAAATCAATTCAAAATGAATTAAAGATATAAATCTATGACCTGACACCATCAAATTAATTGAGAACATTGGAGAAATCCTGCAAGACATTAGCACAGGCAAAGAATTCCTGGAAAATACCCCAGAGGAACAGGCAGCCAAAGCCAAAATTAACAAATGAAATTACTTCAAATTGAGAAGCTTCTGTACTGCAAAAGAAACAGTCAAGAAAGTGAAGAGACAACCAACAAAATGGGAGAAATTATTTGCAAACTATACAACTGATAAAGGATTAATAACCAGAATCTACAGAGATTAAGAATCTCCACAACAACAAAACAAAAAACCCAATTAAGAGATGGGCCAAGAATCTAAACAGACATTTTTCAAAAGAGGAAATCCAAATGGCCAACAGACACATGAAAAAATGTTCGTGATCACTAGCCATCAGGGAAATGCAAATCAAAACCACAATGAGGTTTCACCTCACCCTGGTTATAATGTCTTACATACAGAAATCAACTAACAATAGATGCTGGCGAGGATGTTGGGGAAAATGCACACTAATCCATTGTTGGTGGGAATGCAAACTGGTAAAGCCACTATGGAAGTCAGTTTGGAGATTCCTCAGAACCTGAATATAGAACTACCATATGACCCAGCCATCCCACTACTGGGAATTTAACCAAGGGAAATGTAATCAGTGAACAAAAGAGCTATCTGCACCTCCATGTTTATTGCAGCTCAATTCACAATAGCTAAGACATGGAATCAACCTAAATGCCCATCAACGGTAGACTGGATAAAGAAATTATGGGATTTTTACCCTATGGAATACTACACAGCAGTTTAAAAAAATGAAACCTGGTCATTTGCAACAAAATGGAGGAATCTGGAAAACATCATGCTGAGTGAAATAAGCCAGTCCCAAAGGGACAAATACTATGTGTTCTCCCTAATCTGTGAGAACTAATAGAGCACCTAAAATGAAAGCTGTAGAAGTGAAATTAACACTTTGAGAAATAATGACTTGAACAGCCCTCATATTGACTGTCGAGGAAAAGTTTTTTTATTTTTATATATTTATTTTTTATTTTTAAATTTTTTTCTCTTCTTCATAATCATATATATATATATATATATATATGAAGTCAATTGAAAATAGATCTCATTAAAAAATAAGAGGAGGGGCACCAGCACTGGGGCTCACTTGGTTAATCCTCCACCTGCGGCGCTGGTATCCCATATGAGCGCTGGGTTCTAGTCCCGGTTGCTCCTCCTCCACTCCAGCTCTCTGCTGTGGCCCAGGAAGGCAGTGGAGGATGGCCCAAGTGCTTGGGCGCCTGCACCTGCATGGGAGACCAGTAGGAAGCACCTGGATCCTGGCTTTGGATTGGCGCAGCACCAGCTGTAGTGGCCATTTGGGGGGTGAACCAGTGGAAGGAAGACCTTTCTCTCTGTCTCTCTCTCTCTCTCACTGTCTAACTCTATCTGTCAAGTAAAGAGGAGTAATAAGACAGGGAGGAGGAAGTTTGTAACTGTAAAGCTGTAAATTGCCATCTTAATTGTTATAGTGATCATATTAAGTGTTAAAGTGAACATATACATAGGATTAAATGTTAAAGAGACCATATAAATAACATCAAGTACCTGGTAATAATTATAGACAGAATCAAAAAGGAGGGAATGTCCAACACGGGAAGCAGTCCATACAGCAGACTCATAGAATCACAATCACTTTAAGTAACATTCTGACCTCAGAATCAGCCCTTAAGGCATTTGGATCTGGCTGAAAAGCCCATGAGAACAATTCAGACATGGAAAGCCAAGACACTATGGCAAAAAATATCCTACATGAAGGATCTCTGTGAATGTGATCCCAGTGGTAAGAAGGGGCCATTAAAGAAGGATGTACTTTCCTCTGAAAGGAGGAAAGAACTTCCACTTTGCTTATGGCCTTGTCTGAATACTGACAGAGTTTGTTGTCATAAAAGGCTTTAATAGCCTCAGAAGATCATGGAAAGAACCCTAGGTGATCACTGACGTCATAAATAAGAGTGTTAATTGTTAAATTAACAACAGAAGTCACTGTGCACTTACTCCCCATGTAGGACTTCTGTCCTTAATGAGTTTTGCTATGAGAATTAACTGCAAAACTTGTTTTCAAATAGTGCTTTTTATGTTGTGTGTGTGTGTGTGTGAAAACTGTTGAAATCTTTACCTAGTATGGAGTTGGTCTTCTGTATATAAAGTTAATTAAAAATGAATCTTAATGAAGAACACAATGGGAGAGGGAGTAGGTGGTGGTGCGGGAGTGGGGGTGAGAGGGTGGGTATGGGGAGAAAAATCACTGTATTCCTAAAGTTGGACCTATTAAAATTATGTTCATTAAATACAAACTTTTAAAAAAGTTATATTTTAGGTGCCCCAGGGTCTCTTTATATATGGAAAGTACACTCTAGGTTGCTTTACAAAATAAAAATTTACTCTACTGAAAGATTAAAAAAAAAAACAGTGTTTCTAATAGGTCATTCTATGATCACTGAACCATACTGCATGGTGAATCTCTGTTTCAGGGATTTGGAATCAGTGTGGTAATTCTTTCTGCATATATGCAAATGTTCTATGGTAAATCTAAATTTTAGAATTCCTGGCCGGTGCCACGGCCCAATAGGAAGTCCTCCACCTAGCAGCGCCGGCACACCGGGTTCTAGTCCCGGTCGGGGCACCGGATTCTGTCCCGGTTGCCCCTCTTCCAGGCCAGCTCTCTGCTATGGCCCGGGAGTGCAGTGGAGGATGGCCCAAGTCCTTGGGCCCTGCACTCCATGGGAGACCAGGAGAAGCACCTGGCTCCTACCTTCGGATCAGCACAGTGCGCCAGTTGGCCGTGGCGGCCATTGGAGGGTGAACCAACAGCAAAAGGAAGACCTTTCTCTCTGTCTCTCTCTCTCGCTATCCACTCTGCCTGTCAAAAAAAAATTCCTAGAGCTGGAAAACAGAGATACCATCACTAAATCAGCAGCTAAGATTGCCACAGTCCTTAAGGCCATCCTGCTTTCTGTCTCAGTTCCCTCTCAGGAGCCACATCTCCTCTTTATGTAGAAAGAGAAATCAAATCCATAGCATGTAAGTCTCTATCAAGGGATTGCAAAGCTGTGAGCCACTCCTTCATCTGCTGTGTTCACATATTCTCCCAGTTCTCTTATGCCAATCAGATCATAGATGAACAAAAAATAATTTGAAGAAAAAGATGTGAGTGCAAACACCTAACGTTAGCCTACATGCAATATGTCCCATGATGTACTAAAAACAAAGCATTCATAATCATGTTTAAAAATCATCCCAAGGGAAGATTGTTAGGGCAATCGTGCTTCAATCAGGCTAGAACTGAGAAAATGATGTATTTATGGAATTAGATGAATAACTGTTAAAATGGTGGGTGGTTATTTTCTGAGACACTTTAATTATATTGTTTAATATTACACATGGAAAAAAAGAAGGCAGGAGTGACATTTCTGAAATTATCACTTACTCGTCTTCATTCTGCTGTGGAGAAAACTGATGCTGTTCTATCAATTGATTCTGTTGCTTTTGTTTTTCAGCTGTGAGATAAAATAAAGCTTATATGAGCATCATTCAGCAGTTACACTTCCAACTTGCTCAAAGCCAGAGACTTTCACACACACACACACACACACACACAGCATTCCCATTAGAGTTAATGTTTAGGAAATTGGAATAATCAGAAGGAAAATCAGTTCCGAGGTGGATTTTGAAAAGTTTTGAATAATGAAATATTGTATACAAGAAGTTCAAGTTTAGAACTAGAGCCAGCCCCTATCACAACATTACAAGACACAGATTATTGGAGGTCCTGGGGAGAGTCACATCTTGGGGAAGACTTGGAAATTAATAGCCGATTACTAGTCAAGCACTAGATTTCATTTTCCAATGAAAAGTTCATTCTCCAAAATAATTTAAACAACCCTCTGAATCTCAATTTCCTATGAATTAATTTAACAGATTATTTCATTATAAATAGTATAAAGTTAATATCAGCTCCATTTCCTATAAAATCTTTCACCAAATCTAAATTAATAAGCTATTATTGGGGGCCGGCACTGTGGCTCACTTGGCTAATCCTCCGCCTGCGGCACCGGCACCAGCATCCCATACAGGTTCTAGTCTCGGCTGTTCCTCTTCCAGTCCAGCTCTTTACCGTGGCCTGGGAGGGCAGTGGAGAATGGCCCAAGTGCTTGGGCCCCTGCACCCGCGTGGGAGACCAGGAGGAAGCACCTGGCTCCTGGCTTCGGATCGGTGCAGCACCGGCCATAGTGGCCATTTGGGGTGTGAACCAATGGAAGGAAGACCTTTCTATCTCTCTCTCTCACTGTCTAACGCTATATGTCAAAAAAAATAATCTATTATTGTACATCTTCTGAAGAATAGATATCTCAATTTACCTGTCACAAGTTCCTGTTGTTTCAACAAAATATTTCTTATTTCTTTTAACCATGACATCTTCACATCTACATTTGGAGCCTAAAGTTTGAAAAAAAAAAATGAGGGGCATGTTTCTTTTTAAAAAGGACACTTCGCAATTAAAATTTAATTAGGTGTATCAAGCATGATCTACCCTCTAAAACACCATATTCAAATTCTAACCTTTTGAGTCTTTAAACTTCTAAGAAGCAAATCACTTAACTATCTGATTAGAGGAAATAATACAGTCAATACTGCTTTTAAGTTGCTATTAAGTAATGGAATACTAATGCTCTGGTAAAATGCAAAATATAATGTCACTTTTTTTTTTGCAAAAGGACTCTTAAAAATATAAACATTGTCAGCCTTGTGGTGCAGAGGGTTAAGCCACCACTTATGACGCCAATAGTCCATATCTTAGTGCTGGTTTGAATCTCAGCAGCTCCGCTTTTAGTCCAGTTTCCTGCTAATGCACCTGAGAATGCAGCAGATGATAGATGCCCCAAGTATTTGGGTTCCTGCCACTGACATGGGAGACCCAGATGGAGTTTTTGGCTCCTGGGTTTGGCCTGGCCCAGTCCTGGCTGTTGCAGGCATTTGGAGAGTAAACCAGTAGACATAAGATCTCTCTGTCTCTGTGTGAGTGTGTGTGTCACTCTGCCTTTTGAATAATAAACAAAAAACCCTTTTTTAAAAGATTTATTTATTTTAAGGCAGAGTGACAGAGAGAGAGAGAGAGAGAGAAACTCCATCCACTGGTTCACTCCTCAAAGTAGTCACTACTGCTGGGGCTGGGCCAAGCCAAAGCTCGGAATGGAACTTCATTTGGGTCTCCCATGTGGGTGGCATGGGCCCAAGTCCTTGGCCACCTGCTGCTTTCCCAGGCCCATTAGCAGGGAGCTGGATCAGAAGTGGAGTAACCAGGACTGGAACTAGTGTCCACATGAGATGCTGGCATCACAGGTAGCAGCTTAACCTGTTGTGCCACAACATCGGGTTATCAAATAAATGTTTTTAAAAGTTAAATAAAACATATTTTATGTTTAATTTTCATGAGATAAAAATAAGATTTTGCAGATATTCCTGAAAATAAAATCCATTATACAATAATCTTAATGACTAATGAAAGTGTCCTTAAATATCTTATTCCTTGCTAGATAACTTTTTTAAATGATATAAAGCTCATTACCCTAAGTGACACAAGAAAATGCATTTTTGTGGTTTCTAGTCACCTAGTACAGAATTAAAACCAACAAAAACATTGAGCATTTTCAGCACATAACAGCACATTGACCAATCACAAAGCACTACAATTACTAATTGAATATGTGATGACAACATCTTCTTGAAATGTTCTGATTCGTTTCCCCTTCCTTAAAACAGGTTGGACCTTCCAACACAACTGGCCAGGGCTTTAATCATGCATATTCATTAGAAGCAGGGAGCTGTTCTGAATTGTCACATTTCCATGTTTTATAATCAGGTATCCTTTTAATACTGAGCACAAGAGCAACTCCTTCCTAGAACTTGAAAAACTTGATGGTGACAGAGAAGCACCTGCCATGCTGTCAGATATTGTTGATAACTCTCCAGGTATATTAACAGTTGAAAACTTAAAGTCCTAGAAAATACCATAGATATAACTCAACTAAAAAACATGATTTTCAAATTACCTACATAAAAAGCATAAGAACTTTTCAAATGTCACCTAAATTATTTATGTTTGCAAATTCAGAATTTTTTAGCTTTCTGCAGGTTAGTGTTTCTAGAATAACTTTCAAATGACCAACCTGGACAATATAAATTTCTTCCTTCTCACCATACCAGATTTCAAACTTGCGGTTATCACCTTTTACATACTCAGTGATTCCAACTTCATCCATCTACAATAAATAAGTCAAAATTCTTATAAGCATTTTATTTGAATATAAAATTTCATTAAATCTATCCTATAATATTCTAAATGAAACAGAATTTCTAATTTGGGAAAAATATGTATTTTATATTCAACAAACATGACATGATAAGTACAACCATGAACAAAAGTGTTTATATTGAACTATTCACTTTGAGTTCCTATTGCAATCCAGTGTTTGACACAAATGTATTACATGTAAAAACCCAAGTAGTCTATCTTAGATTGAATTTCCTTATAAATTAACTGTACATTATTAAAACAAAGTATTTTGTCAAACACAGAATTAATTAAACATCAGTAAGAAAAGCCACCCAATATTAAATGGTTATTTTAAATAATTATTTGCTAGATCAGTTAAACTTACAAAATGTTACTTATGTCTACATAAGCCCTGGGAGTTACAAACATCCAGTTTATGGGGCAGAGGAGAACCTGCCAGGTACAGAAGAAACCTTTATTTCCACCAATCCCTCTGCTTTCTAAGAAATCAAATCATCTGTCATGGGACAGTGGTATCTTCTTGTAGCCAGTGAAACTTTGAATGCACTTTTTCTTCCATAACCACAGCTCTTATTCTCTTCCATATGATTGTGCAAAGCATAAACACTTCCATGTTCTTTCATTTGCTGCTAATGACCCAGTTAAATCCTTTCTGAACAACTTCAATCATTCTTTTTTGGTTATTTTCTGCCTTTTCTCTTTTCTTTCAATTCCTACCTAATTATCCAGAGGAATATTTCAGTCTCTGTTCAATTTATGAGCCCCCTAAAAGACCTTGGTGAGAGCTGATATGCATTAAAGGTAGTGGTAGGGAGACGCCCTTGTCAAGGAAAAGGTAAGCAATATAGGAATCACAGAGTCTACACAGAGACATACACCCTAGATGTAGTCAAGAGTTAAATTCAGATGTCTCAAATATTTTTATACTCTTACACTACAACTCTAACTTATCTACTGCTGTTCAAACACCAAGATTTAAAATTAATAATAATATTTCATTCAATCTTTAAAAATTAAGTGTTTTTTTCCATGGCATGTTCTTACCTTAACAGCATGGTGAGCTAGAAAACACATAGGCTTTGGAGTCAAAGAGGCCTATGTTGGAATTCCATCTCTACCACTCACTAGCTATATGTCATGATGCAAATTGTTTACCTTTTCTGAACCACAGTTTCTTTGACTATAAAATGGGAAGAATACCTATTTCATAGAGTTGAAATAAGGATTAAATAGCATACACTAAATGCATATGAGTTTTTAAAATATGAATTTGCTTTCTACCATTTCCCTTATTTGAATTGCAATAGTTTATTGTTTTTCATTATAAACATGTAGTATATCATTATTGACTAAATCGACTTTTTTGAGTTGCACTTGAAATCTAGTCATTATATCTGGCACATCTTAAGCACTATGCACATGTTAGACAACTAAAAAATATATGGTAATGATAAATGTATGAACTGAGAAATCTAGAGATATCAGATCTCTCTATCTAATTAACTGTGGCCTTAGGGCTTTTCTTTGAGCATTAGCAGCCCAATTAAAATGCAGCACCAGGTTATTAGAAAGTACATAGCAAGGCCTAAAGATTTCATCACAGTATGATATAGGCAAGGTAAGAATCCATGTAAAGTCAGAGAGAAGTTGCTTAGCAGTAAATTATTTGCACTGATCTTTCCTCTATCAAAGAGAGACTCTGAAACCAACAATCCTATTTTTTGTTGGTTAACAGAGTAACTGGTGATGCTAGCAATTGCTAAATGCTGGAATCTCATGATAGTTAAAGAAAAGGAAGTAAGCATAGTGAGGCCTAAGAAATACCCTTAATTTTCAAATGAGTTGGGGGCACCATCATTTTCCCAGGAATTCTAGTCTGAAACTTTGTAGGCATCATTGTCAATGACCAATCTTTTTTAGTAAGGATATTAGGCATTACTGGAGAAACCAAAGAACTGGACAGATTTTCTTCCTTCAAATGTCAAGTGTTATTTACTTCCTGTACTAAGTCATCAAGGCCATATGTCTACCTTCCATTGAAATGTTTCTTACATCCATCCCACCCTCCATTTCCATGGTAATCATTGTGGCTCCCATTCTCATTACTTCGTTCTCATGACTTCAATCTCATATCAGTCTTTTCTTACTTTAATGTACTCAAGAAACATTCTGTTGGCATGCCTATTTCTGTGACCAATTAAAGGTGAAACAGAAAATCAGTACAAGTCAGAAATCCTACTCTAATTAGTAATTGGGTCACCCTATAAGTAAAATATGAATCAAAAAAATTTGGGTCAAGCTTGTCTATGAAAGTAAAGTACCTTCCCAAGGAATAGGTATATAGACAGCAAGAGATCTGAACTTTGGTTCTCAATCAAAGTGCATTAGAGACATAAAAGATCCTTAGTGACTTGGGGGCTTAGAGGTGGACTGCTAGTATCAAAGGGCAACCAAGTATTTATGATGAAAACAGAATTTTAAAGAAGCTATGAAGCTTCTGTGGGTTCATCAGTGAAGCAGTTAGGGCAAGAATTCTGCCTAGTAGTTAACACATAAGTTTGGAGTGCCTCAATTAGATTACTGGCTACCATTCCTGATTCCAGATTCCTTCCAATGCAGAACTGGGGGGAGGCAGGTGGCAATTCATGCAGTTAGGTCCTACCTCCCACATAAGAGACCCCAGGTTGAATTCTGGCTCCTGGCTCCAACCATAGGCCCAGCATTTTGGGGAGTGAAACAGTAAATGGAATACTCTCCATAATTTCAAACAGAATGCCATGTAGGCCAGCGCCGCGGCTCACTAGGCTAATCCTCCGCCTGCGGCACTGGCACCCCAGGTTCTAGTCCCGGTTGGGGCACCGTATTCTGTCCCGGTTGCTCCTCTTGCAGTCTAGCTCTTTGCTGTGGCCTGGGAGTGCAGTGGAGGATGGCCCAGGTCCTTAGGTCCTGCACCCACATGGGAGACCAGGAGGAAGCACCTGGCTCCTGGCTTTGGATCAGCGCAGCGCGCCTGCCATAAGGCGCCAGCCATAGTGGCCACTTGGGGGGTGAACCAACGGAAAAAGGAAGACCTTTCTCTCTGTCTCTCTCTCTCTCACACTGTCTAACTCTGCCTGTTAAAAGAAAAAAAAGGAAAAAAGGAAAAGAAAAAAAAGAATGCTATGGAGTCCCCTTGAGGACTGCACAGGATTCCAGTGATAGAGGAAAGGAAAGGAATGAAAGCTCTGCATTGCCTCACTGCTGTTTTCAAGCTTTATCCGACTTACACATAAGACTTCCACTTAAGTGTTTTCAAAACAAAGAAGTGTGAAGCTGAAGTATAAAAACTACTAATTTGATCCAAAAGAGCATACCACCTGGAATATATATACATGTGTTCACACATATATGCATGCATGCATATTAAACACTATTACATTACATAATTGAAATTGCCTTACTTTCAAACAGTGCTTAAAACTGTAGGATGGATATCTATCAGACCCTTCTCCAGTTTCAACACGCCTTTTACAAAAAACAACTGCTTTTTCATACAAGAAAATATGTCGCTGCATTGGTTTGAATCTAGCAAAATCCTTCATTTTTGTAGGACCTTTCTTGTGTCCTATCCAAACACTGAATCCACCTTGCATTATCATCTTGCCCAGCTCATTTAAGTTTCCCTAGAATGCAAAAATCAAAACACATTAGTAAAATGCTATATTCAGATCTCTAATGTCAACATTTTAGTGTTCAGGTTGAGCTACTAAAATCCTGAAGCATAATTTATGATTTTTTAAAAACATAATTACATCTTAGAATACTACATAGTGGTTAAAAAAAAAAAACAAAATCTGGTCATTTGCAACAAAATGGAGGAATCTGGAAAACATCATGCTGAGTGAAATAAGCCAGTCCCAAAGGGACAAATATCATAGGTTCTCCCTGATCTGTGATAACTAACAGAACACCCAAAAGGAAACCTGTAGAAGTGAAATTAACACTATGAGAAGCAATGACTTGAACATCCCCATGGACTTACCCCTAAGGGTAGAGCTAAAAACTTGTCATGGACTCCAAATCCCATTAAGCTGGGTGGTACTAATGCCATCTTACATATTAAAGTGATCATATGAGTGTGTAACTGATCATATAGTAAAAGGACCATATAAATAAGACCAATGTCAGATAATAACAATAGATAGAATTGAAAAGGAGAGAATGAGCCAACATGAGAAGCAGGCCACACCACAGACTCATAGAAAGATAAATGACCTAAACAGCACTCCAACCTCAGAATCAGCCCATAAAGTCATTTGGATCTGGCTGAAAAGCCCACGAGATCATTTCAGGCATGGAAAGCCAAGACACTGTGGCAAAAAAATTATCTACATGAAGGATTTCTGTGAGTGAGATCCTAGTGGAAAGAACGCGTCATCAAAGAAGGATGTATTTTTCTCTGAAGGGAGGAGAGAACTTCCAATTTGCCCGACATCCCTGTCTAAATACTGATGGAGTTTGTGGACTCAAAAGACTTCCATAGCCTTGGCAGCTCATGACAAGAGCCTCGGGTGATCACTGATGTCCTAAATGAGAGTGTCAATTGTTAAATCAACAACAGAAGTCACTGAGCACTAAGTTCCCATGCAGGACCTCTTTCCTTAATGTGTTGTACTATGAGAATTAACAGTAAAACTTGTCTTCAAACAATACTTTATACTTTGTGTGTTTGTGTAGATGCAAACTGTTGAAGTCTTTACTTAGTATAGAGTTGATATTCTGTATATAAAGATAATTAAAAATGAATCTTATGAAGAATGGGATGGGAGAGGGAGTAGGAGATGGGACAGGAATGGGGATGCAAGGGCGGGTATGGGAGGAAGAACCACTATATTCCTAAAGCTGTACTTATGAAATTTGTATCCATTAAATAAAAGATCTGTAAAAAAATTAACTACATCTTTTAAATTAAAACATAAATGCATAGGTACAAAAGTATTGTGGGAGTGAGGGATAATAGAACCTTTCTCTTTCCTTACTTCATATTCTATTTTTGTGGAGGTTTTTTGCCTAGCATAATTTGCCTTATCTTTTCCTCAATCCTGATTGGTACTTATCCCTACTAGATGGCTAATCTGTTAGAGGCTGCAAAGTCCAAAGATCTCATAGATTTTTTTCCCTTATCTATTCTGCTAAAGCAGCAATTGTAGGACAACACATATCCTTAGCTGAATGAGACATTCCTTCATGTAAGATCTCCCTAGCTTTTGATTTGGTGAGGAGGCTGTCAGGGAAAAGGAGAATGTCACAAATTCCTTGGCAGCTGATCCGAAGCCAATTCTCCATTTAGCATTATCAGAAATAATGCAGACATTTTGATCTCCATTTATCTGCCTCTTGTATATTATTTCTCAATTGATTTCAGGCAGGGAAATCAAGTGATGTTGACAAGCTTATCCTCTGAAATTCCAGCAATTATTAAAAATCTACTTACAACATAGCCATTTATGGAAATTTGATGCATAGAATCATTAACTGACTTCAGTAAATCCAACATTGTGTCGAGTGCCTCCTTTAACTGAGTAGTTCCTTCACAGTCCTTGCTGAATTTTAATAGCTCCTGTAATTAGAAGTCAGGAATTAAACATAATATAGGCAGATATCAGTAGATAGATAGAATGAATAAATTTTAGGAGCTGTCACTGTGGCATAATGGGTAAAATTGCCACCAGCAATGCTGATATCCCATATGGGTGCCAGTTCATATTCCAGCTGCTCCTCTTCAGCTCCAGCTCTCTGCTATGGCCTGGGAAAGCAGTAAAAGATGGCCCAAGTGCTTGGGCCCCGTACCTGTGTAACAGACCTGGAAGACACTCCTGGCTCCTGGCTTCTGATTGTTCTATCTCCCACCGTTGTGGACATTTGGGAAGCAAACCAGTGAATAGAAACTCGCTCTCTCTCTCTCTCTCTCTCTACCTCTGTAAATCTGCCTTTCAAATAAATAAATTTTTTAAAGTAAATAAATTCTTGGCTAACAGCTTAAACAGGAATCCAAAGATATTGTCTTTATTATATTTTTTGGAGTAACTTCATTCATATGCTTTTTGTCACATAGCTACAACATTAAATAATAATGTCAAAATTGGAAAAGAATAGTGACAGAACATAGAAAACAAAGGGTAATCAATGCCAATGCTTTTAGGACTGAAGAACAATAGCTATTAGACATTTGGAGATTAGTTTTAAAGCAATTATGTCTAATTTTTGCTCTACATATAAAATTTGTATTATTCATGATTTATTCATGTTTAATAGAGCATAGAACACAGTGAAAATATATTTTAAATGAGGAATGTTTAAGCTTTATATTTATATTTATACTTAATACAATATTTATACTTAAGATTTCAGTAATCTTTTCAGATTATGCTTGGAGAAGTATCATTTTCATTTTTCACTAAGAAGGTCCCTATGGAACAGTCTCAAAAGTATGAGAGATACATGTTTGTTCAGTTCTTTCTAATAATATTAGAAGTTTTGGGTAAAATATTATGCATAAATCAATGTAACTCACATGGACAATTACATAGATATAACATCAGATATTCTGAGCCTATGGTATTTGCACAGCCACAGTGAAACAAAGGAGCACACTGTACTAATTCTACTGTTAACTCCAGCCTTCCCAGTCATTGAGTCTACCCATTTCTAGCAGTTTCTAATTGGCTGTTTTCTTTTAGATGTAAATGTAAGTAGAGAAAGAAATGAATACTTCACGTAATTACCTTTAACAACAACTGATATTTTGTGATTCGTTGCACCGGTTTGAGTAAATAGGAATCCAGACCAAGTCTGTGTTTTAATTTTCTTTGACATTCCTGTCATTAAAAAATAATTATCAATAAATTTAAATGAGACATGTACCTGTGAAAATGTCAACTGTTCACTGGTTAGAATCAATGCTTTAATGTTTTTATATCTCTAAGAAAATTTATCAGAAAAATTGCTGCTACATATGGTGTAGAAATTTAAGACACAATATACCCAAAAAACTACAGTAAATAGTATTTCAAGAAATCAGGAAACAGGAAATCCCAGAACTTGAAAGAATAAAGAGTTTTTACATACAATTTCACATTGACATGGAATGCTGAAAAGGTGAAAAAGGAAAGAATGACTGTAGCTTAACATGATTTAAAAGTTCTTCAATATATCCAAGAAAACTACCAAAAGCACAATGGTGCAAAGCCTAGAAAAGAAATGGGTAATGTTGAATATAAATTGGACTGCATATGAAAACAGATTTTTTTTTTAGGTTCACAAAAAAAAACACAGTTCTTATCAATTGGTAGTTTATTTCATCTAGTAATTGACTCACTGTCACTATAAATATAAAGGTCATAAAGTTGAGTCCTGGGAATATTGTAGGACTCCAAATTAGGGTAAGATGAGACTGGTTACAATGAAATGTGCAGATAGGCCAGCGCTGTGGCTCAACAGGCTAATCCTCCACCTAGCGGTGCCGGCACACCGGGTTCTAGTCCTGGTCAGGGTGCCGGATTCTGTCCCGGTTGCCCCTCTTCCAGGCCAGCTCTCTGCTATGGCCCAGGAGTGCAGTGGAGGATGGCCCAAGTGCTTGCGCCCTGCACCCTATGGGAGACCAGGAGAAGCACCTGGCTCCTGCCTTCGGATCAGCGCGGTGCGCCAGCTGCAGCGCGCCGGCTGTGGCGGCCATTGGAGGGTGAACCAACGGCAAAAAGGAAGACCTTTCTCTCTGTCTCTCTCTCTCTCTCACTGTCCACTCTGCCTGTAAAAAAAAAAAAACAATGAAATGTTTTGGTAGTGCAGAAGAACATAAAGGGATTCAGAAGAAGATACCTGAATAACATCGAGGTCCTTACACTGGATATATATAAAATCCAATGTACAATATAATTCAAACAAGAACTGTCAAATTACAAAGAAAGAAAGTAATCTGATTACATCTCCTCATTCATGAAATTCAACTAAGATGATGGGAAAGTTGTTTTCACAGGGAGGGGAGCAAAAAAAGAAAGATGAGAAAGGAGAAAGTACTGGCAAATTTGTAACTGAAAATCAAACTGACAAGTGACGAACAACTGAACACACTGGAGGAAAGTGAATCTCAGATTGGCAGGATTGGCAGAAGGAAAGTCAAGAAACAACTCAATTTTTGTCCTAGAACATTTCTCCCCATACCTCCACAAAAACTGAGGGACTAAAGACACTAAGCACCTCTGAAACTGTTTAAACTGGCAGATGAAGGTGGGTTTTCAAAAAGGATGGTTGTAGAAAGTCTATTAAGGAAGTCACAAGTGTTGATGAGGATATGGAGCAACCAGTACCTTCATACTGCTGGTGGGAATGCATATGGTATAATAACTTTGGAAATGAGTCCAGCTGTTCCTTACAAAAGTTAAACATAGAGTTCATATGACCTGACAATTTTGTTCCCAGGTATATGGCCAAGAGAAATAATAACGCAGGCCTGCAAAAGAAACCATACAAAACTTTTCATGCTAGCATTATTCCCAATAATCAAAAGATAGAAACATTCAGAATTCTGAGGATAGCTATTGCTTAACTAGAATTCTATACCTTCCCAAGGTAGCAATCAAGGTTAGGGTAGAAGAAAGACATTTGCAGACATGCAAGCTCTCAAAATCTTTGGGTACCATGCACATTTTCTCACTAAAACTACTGGAGGATTTTTGTGTTTCACCATGGCACTTAGCAAACATGAGAACCTATTCAAAAGTCTTGTGAAGAGAATCCCGAAAATGAGATTCACCAAATCCAAGATGGCTGAATAAGAAAACACAAGCTGATTCTGACCACAGGAAGATAACTGAACAAAAGGGGAGAATGTGCATTCCCAAGAGACAGTTGGAGAGAAGTTTGCAGTAGAAATTCTACAAAAAAAGAGAAGCCATGGAGCTGAAGGAACAGTACAATCATGCAGCAGTGAAAAGGACATCACCAGTTATTCCCATAGCCGGTGGTTGGGGGAAACATGATCATCTTGCAGCAAGACACTTGGCAACCAGAAGGGAGGAAACACCATCTCAGTAAGATGAATACAGGCTGCTGTGGCTCAAATGCAACTAGAAAATTTTATCAGAATGATAAACACGTGGTCCCCACTGACTTTGATTCTGGCCTGGAGGGTTGGCAGGGGGCAGGGCATCCACTTAGGCCCATGAAGCGCTCCCTTCCCTCATTCTATCAAGGTACCCAGACTTGACTTGCTAAAGTGAGACATCAATCAACCTCCATTGATTAGGCAGCTGGCTCTGGAAATGAAATGGCTCTTTCCATGGGCAGGGGACTCTTGTGGGGCTGAGAATGGATCCCTTGCTCCCTGTGACTGAGAATTCTGTCACCATGTGATAGGGGGTGCAATAGGGTGTAGGTAGGTCTTTGGGTAATCACTGTGTCTGCCTTCAGAGGCTCAAAATTCCATACCCACACTGAGGAGTGCATAGATCCTTTATATGGTTCAAGTGCCTATGGGAGTCAGCATTATGGACTGACCCTGGGTGGTTGGTTCACCCTCACAAAGAGGGAGTGAAACTGTGATCATGGGAGCCAATACTATTATACCCTCCCCACTGCTGACAATAGAGATCTACCACACCCAACTTGGTGCCACCCTGGAGTCTTTATCACACTTTCCAGAACTAGAAAGAATTCACTGGCCCAACCCAATATACACTTCTATATATCCACTGAAGGAGCAGACACTCCACTAAGCCACAGAGGCACATTTCAAAGATAAAAGCCATCAGAGGAAACAAAACCAAAAAGTGTTTCTACAAATGCTTAAAAATAAATGTATAAATACAAGAAACATACACAAGGAAAACAATATGACTCCCCAAAAGGAACATAACACTTCAATATTAGAATATGAGGACAAAGATGTTGATGAAATGCCTGAAAAGGAATTCAAAAGAATTATCATAAGAGTCCTCAAAAACACAAAGAAGTAAATACATGAGTTAAACAAATCCAAACAAGGCATGGATGAAAAATTTTGCAAAGAGAGATATTGAAGAGAAATCAAACTGAAATTTTAGAAATGAAGATTTTAATACGTAAAATAAAAACGACATTGGAAAGCCTTAACAGCAGTCATGATGAAGCATATCCTTTCATGATAAAAACCTTAAGCAAATAAGATCTAGAAGAAACAGTCCTCAACATGATCAAGGCAATATATGACAGATAGCCAGCATCATATTGAAAGGGGAAAATTTGGAAAAAGTTCCACTAGGATCCAGAACCAGATAAGGATGCCCACTTTCATCATTGCTATTCAAGATAGCTTTGGAAATTTTAACCACACCCATTAAGTAAGAAAAAAAATCAAAAATAGACAAATGGTATTACATCATTCTGAGAAGCTTCTGCACTGCAAGGAAACACTCAGCAAAGTGAGGAGGTAACCAACAGAATGGGAGAAAATATTTGTAAACTGTAAAATTGATAAAGGAATAATATCCAGGATCTACAAAGAGCTCGAGAAACTCAACTACAACAAAACAAACAATCCAGTTAAGAAATGGACAAAGGACATGAACAGGCATTTTTTTAATGGATGAAATTCAAATGGCCAATAGACACACAAGAAAATGTTCAGGCTCACTATCCATCATGGAAATGCAAATAAAAACAACAATGAGGTTCCATCTCACCCCAGTTAGAATGGCCATCTTTCAAAAATAAAAAAATAATAAATACTGCAAGGATGTGGGGAAAAAGGTACCCCAATACACTGTTGGTGAGAATGTAAATTAGTACAACCATTACGGAAGACAGTATGGAGATTCCTCAGAAATCTGAAAATAGATATACCATATCCTACTCATGGGAACTTACCCAAAAGATATTAAATAAGCATGTGAAAGAGTATTTGTTAACACCATGTTTATTGAAGTGCAATTCACAATAGCAAAAATATGGAATCAACCCAGATATCCACCAATCAATGACTGATCAAAAAAGTGGTATATATACACTATGGAATATTACTCAGCCATAAAAAATAAAATCCTGTCTATTGCAACAAAATGGATATAACTGGGAACTACAATGCTTAGTGAAATATACCAGTCCCAAAATGACAAACATCAGATGTTTTCTCTAATATGTGGAAATTAATGGAGAATACAAAAAACAGTAATTATACCTATGAAATACTTGAAATCTATTCTCTTTATATTAATAATTTTTTAAAAAAATGAGATTCACCAAGTTCCCAAGATGATAGCTTCTCAGAAAGAATAGTGAGCCTGGACAAGCAGATCAGAAATCTCCAAAAGAGATTTCTTCAAGAAAATCAAATTCAGAGAAAATTAAATATATTCAAATGTACAGAAAGACATTTTTATGACTACCTTAGCGGGGAGAGGTTGAGGCCTAATATGGGTAAGTATATAGAAAACTAAGTGCATAAAAAATAATTGCCAGAACAACAAAAGGTAAAGAAAGCAACCATATTACATCATATGATTCATCTGAAAGATAATTACATAGTCTTAATAATTTAACACATTATAGCAATCTAACCAAAATTACAATATAACTATTGGAAGCTTTGGAGTAAAAGAAGTATGTATAGTCTAGTGCCTACTAATACTAACCGATAGAATAAATAAAGGGGAGAGTGATCCAACATGGGAAGCAAGATACACAGCAGACTCATAGAATGGAGGATGTCCTAAACAGCACTCTGGCCTCAGAATCAGCCCTCAAGGCATTCGGCGGATCCAGCTGAAAAGCCCATGAGAGTATTTCAGGCATGGAAAGCCAAAACACTCTGGCAAAAAAAAAAAAAGGACCTAAATGAAAGATCTCTGTGAGTGAGATCCCAGTGGAAAGAACAGGTCTTTAAAGAAGGAGGTACCTTTCTCTGAAGGGAGGAGAGAACTTCCACTTTGACTATGACCTTGTCTAAATATGATCAGAGTCGGTGAACTCAAAAGGCTTCCATAGCCTTGGAAACTCATGACTGGAGCATAGGGAGATTACTGATGCCATAAACAGGAGTGTCAATTTGTTAAGTCAACAACAGGAGTCACTGTGCACTTACTCCTCATGTAGGATCTTTGTCCTTAATGTGCTGCACATTGA